GCCATTGCACTCCAGCCTGTAAATAGGGTGAGATTCTGTAAAAAAAAAAAAAAATCCCAATAACAACCTCTGTCAAATTGAATCTTGAAATTAACACCTGACAGAGAATATCCAGACACAAGTTTTAAGAGGCTAATATTTGTTCATAGCCCAAACTGAAAGAGAGTTGGTCACCCCTGACTTTTACGCACAAGACATTATACTAGATAACCAAAGATGTTTAAAGCATCTGCCTAAAGTCTGGAGAATATGAGCAGAGAGGAGAGATAATATGCCTTCTCTATCTGCAAAGTCAGGCCATGGATTCGGATGCTATTTTGTGGCTACACAGATTGAAAATGAATGAAGCTGGGATTCTAAGCTACAATGGCCCCTTCAACCACAAAGGCAGAAGATACCCACCACAACACCCACTCTCCTTTAGGGATAAACCTCTGAAAGAATCTAAATCTTTTCCTAGGGCCTTCAGGGTGTATACATCTGGTGCATACTAGGTCTAGGCCTATACATGCAAAGTTTTACTCTCCAATACTACTGATAACTGTGTCTTCTATGTGAATATAGTATATATTCCTATATATGATTCCCCAGCACTTCTGTACCAAGAATAAATAGAGAAGAATTGGGGGGAGGGGAGCATCAGGGATGGGCTGTGTACAAAATTATAAGGAAAATTTAGTGATCTAATATAAAAAGGCAAAGTAAGAGGCTGAAAAAGATCAAAGAATCAAAATGAAACAAGAAATCCCAGTACCAGAGAACAAGTGAGATAGCCAGAGAAAGGCTAACTAGAAACCTGGTGATAGAATTAAGTGCCTTTCAAATGCATTTATTAATGTGGAAGATGCTTTAGAAGTTTAACTTCATTGCAGCCAACTTTGAAAAATGGGTTTCCAGTTGTACAATGTAAAGACACAATCCTGAAGGTTTCTAGAAAGCAACTGTGATTATGAAGAGTACACCTAACTTCAATTTTGGACAATCTGTTTGACCTGCTCTAACATCAACCTGGAAGACCAATGACACAAAAGCACTCCACAGGTGTGACACCTGGGGTCTGGGGATTTCAGGTTGCCTATTCCTCTTCACCAGGACTTTCTGTTATGAAAAGCCACATCCAGGAAAGATAATCACTTAAAAAAAAAAAAAAAAAAAAAAAAAAAAAAACATTCTCGCATTAGTCATAATTATCCTGACAAAACCAGACACATTTTAAGACATTACAGCCACAAACTAGACAATTTTTAACTTTTTCCGACCTCAAATCCCTTCCACTATAGGATTAGTAACGTCAAATAAAAAAGGAGGACCCTTGAGAATTCAACATTTCTCACATACACACAAAAAAAACTTCAGGAGATCTCAAATGGCCTGGAGCAAACCCTGAGAAAGAGCTGTTTTAAAGTTTGCTTCCAAAAGCATCGACCTCCTAACCACTGTGATCTCAGTTAAGAGTGGTTCCTGTAACTAAAGTCCCTTCAGCTCTGAGAAACCACCTTCAAAATGGTCACACAGAAGCGCATTGCACCGTGGTACTAAAGTTCACCCACTTAACAGAAATGCTGACCTCAGGCACTAACTCCACACCTCCTGAATCAGAATCTGCAACGTAACAAGATCCCCAGGCGGCTCCCATGCGCCTTAAGAAGCGCTTACTACCGGCTGCGCCATCAGGGCAAAGCTGGAAGTTCCGGGCTGTCCTACCCCCGCAGGTCCTTTGCCCCAGGGCCGGGGGAGGCACTGGCTACTGCTGTTTTCCCTTCGTCTGGACCCAACCCTTGTCCCACTCCGCGCGAGTAAAGCTCTGAAGATGTGTGTTCGGGCGAGACGCCTGACCGGGACACAGTCCTCGCCCCGCCAGGCCCGGCCATGGCCGACCTCTCACCTGCTCCTCCAGCGGGAGCGGCTTGAGAGGACTCCGCGCCCCGTGTCGAAACACGACCTGCACCATTTTCAGCTTCAGCAGGCTGCGGTCGACGGGACGCTGGCCGTCGGCCCCCTGCAGCTCGGCCAGGGCCACCCGCCGCTGGTGCAGGCAGTAGGCCAGCGAGGCCAGGACGCCCACCGGGGTCCACACGCGCACGCTGAAGACACCGGTGATCATGGCGGCAGCTCGCCCCGCGCCGCCCTCCCGGGTTGAGGCTGCAGGAGGCGAACGCAAGACCTCCGCAGGCGCCGGGGCTCAGCGGGAACCTGCGGGTGCGTACATCCGGCCCTTCGACAGGCGGGGACTACCGTGACTCCCAGCCCTGAGGGAGACCCCGAGTGGGAACGTGGGGAGAGAACAGGAGGTGGCGGCAGCGAAGGGTCCCTGCTTTCACCCGGGTCGGGGTTGGTCGCTCCTGCTGCACACCGGGCCGGGGGAGATCTGAATCTTATCTTTCGCCCAATGGGGAACCTTAAACTTGTATTTCAGGTTTATCCTCCAGCACTCTTGAACAGGCCGGAGCCCGCCCCGAGTTCCTCGCGGCGGCGGCTCGGCTAACACAGACGGCTCGATTCCACTTTTCTATAAGCAAGCTCCTACCCACCTCCTTACCTACCCAGGGACCTGTCCCAAGTGGACCCGCGCACAGGAGCACGGGAAAACGAGTCCTGCGGTGACGCCTCGCCTGGAGACTCAAGAGTTGCGAGAACTACAGTTCCCACAAGGCTGCGCCGCACCGGGGCTCCGAAGCAGTGCCTTGTACCCGCCCCCCTCGGCTGCAGGCCTCGCCCCTCCCGCCAGCCCGCCGGTTTCCAGGCGTGGGCGGCCCACGGAAGTGCCTGCTCAGAAGGTGGAGTGGGAGTGAATCAGTGAGGCCTTAGAGTTTGCCAGGCAAGGGTAGGGAGAAATGCGAGCACAGGAGTAGAATCGGGTGGTGAAGGGAAATAGTTTTGAATGTAGACTTCTTTCGAGTCCCGGAAGCCTGCTTGCTGAAGCTAGGAGCTGAAACACCTGCCGAGTGATTACCATTTGCGAAACACAGCACTAGGTACTTTATATTTAGCCATTTACTACTCCCTTCTCTGTTTTTATTTATTTACTTGTTTTTTATTTTATAGACGGGGTTTCACCATATTGGTCACGCTGGTCTCGAACTCCTGACCTCAGGTGATCCGCCCGCCTCAGCCTCCCAAAATGCTAGGATTACAGGCGTGAGCCACCGCGCCCGGCTCTCCTTCTCTGTTTTAAAACAGTTCTCAAGCTTAAGTCGTTGTAATCATGTAGAATTTTAAGCTCACTGCTGTGTTTACTTACATCCAGAATATTTCTTGTGGAAAAAGCCAGGCCTTGCCTGTGGGTGTTGTCCCAGTCACTAAGAACTTAAGAACACAGAAAAATGTCAGCCTTACCACCTGCTAGACTGATTTCTGTTGAATATGCAGGTATCCCAAGCCTGTGTTCCGAGATCTTTGCAACAGGTCACAATCTGGAACCCATTATGTGTCTACTTCAACGTGAAGGCCAAATTGAGAGGAGACACATTTGTGAGGAGTGTCCATGTATACTGTCTAACCATTCCTTTAATCATTCTAAATCCTATCCTTGGATCAAGCTGGCCCAGATGTAAAGACAACATACTTATAGAGCATGGCTCCTAGCCTGAGAGCAAATTCTGTTCACCAAGCTGGAAGGTTCTGAGTGCTCCCTGGTGCAGGGAGGGTCATTTTGGAACACTACATATTGCCACAATTTTCTCCCTAGCCCAGCCAATGGACTCGCTTTTCAGAGTCTTATTGTGTGCCCTGATGTGATTAAAAATTGAATACTATTTGCTGTGGACTCAGTTGTGTCTCCCCCAAATTCATACCCACTAAATGACTGTATTTAGATATAGGACTTTTAGAAGGTGATTCTGTCAGAGGCATTTGAACCAGAGTGACTCCATCTTGAATAGGGGCTGGGTAAAATGAGGCTGAGACCTACTGGGCTGCATTCCCAGGAGGTTAGGCATTCTCAGTCACAGGATGAGATGGGAGGTCAGCAGGACTGGTATCACAAAATACCGGTCAAAAAGACCCTGCCGATAAAACAGGATATGATAAAGAAGCTGACCAAAACCCACCAAATGCAAGATTTTATGAAAGTGACCTATGGTCAAGCTCACTGCTAATAGTATGTTAATTGCAATGCATTAGCATGCCAAAGGACACTCCCATCGGCACCATAACAGTTTATGAATGACATGGTCAGCAGTTACCCTATATGGTCTAAAGTGGGGAGGAACCCTCAGTTCCAGTTCCAGGAAGTCCCAGTCCTTTCCCAGAAAATTCATGAATAATCCACCCCTTGTTAGGCATATAATTAAGAAATAACCATAAATATATTCAGTCGAGCAGCACATGCCCCTGCTCTGTCTATGGAGTAGCCATTCTTTTGTTTTTCTCTCTCTTTAATAAACTTCACTTTATTCTGTGGACTCACCTAGAATTCTTTCTTGCCTGAGGTCCAAGAAGCCTCCCTTGGAGTCTGGATCAGGACCCCTTTCCAGTAACAATTGTGGTTAAGTCAAGACATAAGTGTGAGGTCCTAATCCAGTAGGATTGGTGGCTTTATAAGAATAGAAAGAAGGATCTCTCTCTCCACACCCACACACCGAGGAAAGGCCATGTGAGCACACAGTGAGAAGACGGGCAGCTTATCTGTGAATCAGGAGCCTCACCAGATCCTGACAATGCTGGCACCCTGACCTTGGACTTCTAGCTTCCAGTAATGTCAGCAAATACATTTCTGTTGTTTTTGGCATGCAGCCTATAGTATTTTGTAATGGCAGCCCAAGCAGACCAAGACACTGTTTTACTTTAGTCTCGATAGGGCATCAGGAGAACCAGACAGCACTGCTTTGGAAAACGTAATGAAATGTAACTCCAATGGTTGAGAACTGTTCTCGAACGCTCAGCAAAAACATGGTACAGTTGTAGTGTCAGAGGGCCCTCCAGCAGCCTTGGTAGTTTTAGTCCATCAGAGCAGCTTCAGGGCAATGTAATATTGGCATCTGGGTGCCAATACCTTCTGCAGTCATGGACGAAGCAACCTGAGTCCCCATCCTCCACTCTGGCAGCCTCAGCACAGACTTGGCAGTCAGCATAAGCAATACCTTTAGCCTGCATGAACATCAGCAGTGGTTATGGTTTGGCTGTGTGCACCCACCCAGATTTCATCTGGAATTACAATCCCCACATGTTGAGGGAGGGACCTGTAATCCCCATGTGTCAAGGGAGGGAGGTGATTGAATCATGGGGGCAGTTTCCCCCATACTGTTTTCATGACTGCAAATGAGTTCACATGAGATCTGATGGTTTTATAAATGTTTGGAAATTCCTCCTTCTTCTCTCTCTTCTGTCACCTTGTGAAAAAGGTGCCTGCTTCCCCATCCACCATGATTGTAAGTTCCCTGAGGCCTCCCTGCTCCCCAGCCATGCGGAACTGTGAGTAAATTTACTCTTTTGTTTATAAATTGTACTATCTTTATAGCAGTATGGAAATGGACTAATACAGCAGTGGTCCTGTTGAGGCTCACGTGTTGTGTTGGAAGGGGAGTGTGGGGAGTGTGGGGAACGACTCAGCAGCAGATCTCCAGAATAAACCAGAGTAAGTGAGGGTGGAAAATGGCAGATTTCATGTGGTGGTTAAAAGCACTGTTGAACACATGTGAGACAAACCATGGGGAGTCCAGGCATATTTTGTGTGTGATAGTAGTGGTAGTGAGCTGCAATTTAAAAGAGGCTGGGCTGGGTACAATGGCTCGCACCCGAAATCCCAGCACTTTGGGAGGCTGAGGCCAACAGATCACCTGAGGCCAGGAGTTTGAAACCAGCCTGGGCAACATGGTGAAACCCTGTCTCTACCAAAAATACAAAAATTAGCTGGGTGTGGTGGCACACATCTGTAATCCCAGCTACTTGAGAGGCTGAGGCAGGAGAATCACTCGAACCCAAGGGGCAAAGGTTGCAGTGAGTTGAAATTATACCACTGCACCCCAGCCTGGGCGACAGAGTGAGATTCCATCTTAAAAAGAGAGGCAAGGCAGGAAGTCCTGACCCAGGGCAGGACCATGTGGATGGGGGTGGTTAGGGTGGTTGGAGGAAGCAGGGGAACACTGAATGGCTGTTATTTTGACCCTGGTTTGGGGATATAAGCCCTTTCCCAGCCAAATTGGCTTCAGAGGATTGCATTTAATATTATGCAAAAACTTGGTTTTAATAACGAGATTAGATAAGAAACATCCACATTCACTATTTTATCCCCAGTGGTGAGCACGGTGCCTGGCTTGTAGGAAGTACTCCATAAATACTTGCCAAATAAAATTATAGGCTATATCATAGGAATGTTGTTGAGGCATTGTTCATTACATCATTTATTGCTTCCTTTATAAATCTGCTTCTGAGAAATTTGGTTTAGAGTGTTAGAATTCGAACAAGCACGATAGGACAACCCAAGATGGCCGTTGAGGAACAGCTCGGGATTGCAGCTCCCAGTGAAAGCACAGAGGGTGAGTGGAGGCCGCATTTTCATTGCCCACAGACTAGACAATTCCCAGGCGGAGGAGCTCCATGGGTTGCCAGCGCGGCTGTTTCGGCCAGCGTGGCTGTGCTGGCCGGCGCCGCTGCTTTGACCCACGCGGCTGCTTTGTTGGCGCCCTGGAGCAGCAGTTCTCTGTACAAAATACACCAGTCCGGGTGCCCTTTTGGCTGGCGATTGGAGCCACGGGAAGTCGCCCATTCCTCTTTTTAAAAAGGGGACTGAGCAGAGAACCAGGACAGTAGATTCCAGGGCAAAAACAAAAAGCGCTACAAATCTCAGTGCAGCTATTTAAGCCAGCGCAGTGAGTCGTGACACGGGAAAACAAATAGACCCCGGCGACTCAACAGGCAACTGGAACACCAATTTTAAAATTTAAAAAAAAGGCTCTGAGGCAGGGAGCCAGGCGATCAGGCTCGGCTGGTCCCACCCCCACAAAAGAACAGCAATCAGAAACTCTCTGGATTGAGAGTTTCACAGCAAGTGCAGCTGAACCCGGTATGGTCCAGCTCTGTGGGGGAGGGGCGTCCGCCATTACTGAGGCAGCCCGCCACTAGGGAGGTAGTCGGCCAATGCCGAGGCAGCCCGCTGTTGCTGAGGCAGCCCGCTGCTGCCAAGGCAACTGGCCACTACAGGGAGACTCCGCCTTAAAAGAGGTGGGCCACCCTTGCTGAGGCAGTTCTAATTACACCCATATAAACAGGACTGCAGAGAAGTTCACTCGGCAGCTGGGCGGAGCCCACAGCAGCTCAGCAAAGCCTCTACAGGCAGACAGTGACTAGGCTGCCTCCTTGCTGGGCAGGGCAGCTCTGAAGGAAAAAAAGAAGGCAACAGCATAACAGAAACTCATAAATAAAGCCCTAAATCCCTGGGACAGAGCACCTGGGAACAAAAAGCGGTTTATGAGTTCTGCTGCAGCAGACCTAAACATACATGCCCGGCAGCTCTGAATGAACAACGGAGCTCACAGCTCAGCATTTGAGCTCCTATAAAGAAGAGACCATCTCCTCAAGTAGCTCCCTGACCCCAGTATATCCAAAGAGCCA